TGCTGTAGTAGCACTGGTAGAACCACCACCCACACCACCACCACACCACCACCACACCACCCACACCACCCACACCACACCACCACTACACCACCACCACCACCACCACCCACACCACCACCACCACCACCACACCACCACCACACCACCACCACCACACCACACCCACGTGGTAGTAGACCCCGTTGAGGTTGCTGTAGTAGCACTGGTAGAACCACCACCACACCACCACCCACACCACCCACACCACCACCACACCACCACCACAACACCACCACCACCACCACACCACCACCACACCCACGTGGTAGTAGACCCCATTGAGGTTGCTGTAGTAGCACTGGTAGAACCACCACCACCACCACCACCCACACCACCACCACCACACCACACCCACGTGGTAGTAGACCCCGTTGAGGTTGCTGTAGTAGCACTGGTAGAACCACCACCCACACCACCACCACCACCACCACACCACCACACACCACCCACGTGGTAGTAGACTCCGTTGAGGTTGCTGTAGTAGCACTGGTAGAACCACCACCCACACCACCACCACCCACACCACCACCACCCACACCACCACCACCACCACACCACTCCCACACCACCACACCACACCCACGTGGTAGTAGACCCCATTGAGGTTGCTGTAGTAGCACTGGTAGAACCACCACCCACACCACCACCACACCACCACTCCCACACCACCACACCCCACCCACGTGGTAGTAGACCCCGTTGAGGTTGCTGTAGTAGCACTGGTAGAACCACCACCCACACCACCACACACACCACCACCACCACACCACACCATCACCACACCACACCCACGTGGTAGTAAACTCCGTTGAGGTTGCTGTAGTAGCACTGGTAGAACCACCACCACCACCACACCACCACACCACCCACGTGGTAGTAGACTCCGTTGAGGTTGCTGTAGTAGCACTGGTAGAACCACCACCCACACCACCATCACACCACCACCACCCACGTGGTAGTAGACCCCGTTGAGGTTGCTGTAGTAGCACTGGTAGAACCACCACCACCACCACCCACACCACCACACCACCACCACCCACACCACCATCACACCACTCCCACACCACCACACACCACCCACGTGGTAGTAGACTCCGTTGAGGTTGCTGTAGTAGCACTGGTAGAACCACCACCACCACCACCCACACCACCACACCACCACCACCCACACCACCATCACACCACTCCCACACCACCACACACCACCCACGTGGTAGTAGACTCCGTTGAGGTTGCTGTAGTAGCACTGGTAGAACCACCACCCACACCACCACCACCACCACACCACCACACACCACCCACGTGGTAGTAGACCCCGTTGAGGTTGCTGTAGTAGCACTGGTAGAACCACCACCCACACCACCACCACCACTACCACCATCACCACCATCACCACCACCCACACCACCACCACCACCCCCACCCCACCACCACCACCCACACCACCATCACACCACCACTCCCACACCACCACACACCACCCACGTGGTAGTAGACCCCATTGAGGTTGCTGTAGTAGCACTGGTAGAACCACCACCCACACCACCACCACCACACCACCACCACCACACACCACCCACGTGGTAGTAGACCCCGTTGAGGTTGCTGTAGTAGCACTGGTAGAACCACCACCACCACACCACCACCACACCACCACCACACCACTCCCAAACCACCACACACCACCCACGTGGTAGTAGACCCCGTTGAGGTTGCTGTAGTAGCACTGGTAGAACCACCACCACCACACCACCATCACACCACCACTCCCACACCACCACACACCACCCACGTGGTAGTAGACCCCATTGAGGTTGCTGTAGTAGCACTGGTAGAACCACCACCCACACCACCATCACACCACCACTCCCACACCACCACACACCACCCACGTGGTAGTAGACCCCATTGAGGTTGCTGTAGTAGCACTGGTAGAACCACCACCCACACCACCACCACACCACCACCACACCACCACTCCCACACCACCACACACCACCCACGTGGTAGTAGACCCCGTTGAGGTTGCTGTAGTAGCACTGGTAGAACCACCACCCACACCACCACCACACCACCACCACACCACCACTCCCACACCACCACACACCACCCACGTGGTAGTAGACCCCGTTGAGGTTGCTGTAGTAGCACTGGTAGAACCACCACCCACACCACCACCACACCACCACCACACCACCACCACCACACCACCACACACCACCCACGTGGTAGTAAACTCCGTTGAGGTTGCTGTAGTAGCACTGGTAGAACCACCACCCACACCACCACCACACCACCACCACACCACCACTCCCACACCACCACACACCACCCACGTGGTAGTAGACCCCGTTGAGGTTGCTGTAGTAGCACTGGTAGAACCACCACCCACACCACCACCACCACACCACCACCACCACACACCACCCACGTGGTAGTAGACCCCGTTGAGGTTGCTGTAGTAGCACTGGTAGAACCACCACCACCACACCACCACACCACCACCACCCACACCACCACCACCACACCACCACCACCACCACACACCACCCACGTGGTAGTAGACCCCGTTGAGGTTGCTGTAGTAGCACTGGTAGAACCACCACCCACACCACCACCACCACACCACCACCACCACACACCACCCACGTGGTAGTAGACCCCGTTGAGGTTGCTGTAGTAGCACTGGTAGAACCACCACCACCACACCACCACCACCCACACCACCACCACACACCACCCACGTGGTAGTAGACCCCGTTGAGGTTGCTGTAGTAGCACTGGTAGAACCACCACCACCACACCACCACCACCCACACCACCACCACACACCACCCACGTGGTAGTAGACCCCGTTGAGGTTGCTGTAGTAGCACTGGTAGAACCACCACCCACACCACCATCACACCACTCCCACACCACCACACACCACCCACGTGGTAGTAGACCCCGTTGAGGTTGCTGTAGTAGCACTGGTAGAACCACCACCCACACCACCACCACACACACCACCACCCACACCACCACCACCACACCACCACACACCACCCACGTGGTAGTAGACCCCGTTGAGGTTGCTGTAGTAGCACTGGTAGAACCACCACCACCACCACCACCACCCACACCACCACCACCCACACCACCACCACACCACCACACACCACCCACGTGGTAGTAGACCCCGTTGAGGTTGCTGTAGTAGCACTGGTAGAACCACCACCACACCACCATCACACCACCACCACACACCACCCACATGTTAGTAGACCCCGTTGAGGTTGCTGTAGTAGCACTGGTAGAACCACCACCACTACACCACCACACCACCACCACCACACCACCACCACACACCACCACACACCACCCACGTGGTAGTAGACCCCGTTGAGGTTGCTGTAGTAGCACTGGTAGAACCACCACCCCGCGTGCGCGATGTTGGCGCAAACTCCGCCCGTGTCGGCGGTGCTGAAGGGACGCCCGTTGTGGTACCAGGCCAGGGAGTCGTCCGCCGTGCCGCTGTAGCCGCCCACGTGGAGCGCAAAGAGCTCCTCCTCACCAGACGTGCTGCCGGGCAAGTGGTGGGGGGGAGTGGTGGTGGGTGGGGAGTGGTGGGGGGGAGTGGTGGTGAGGAGTGGTGGGGAGGGGTGTGGAGTGGTGGTGGTGGGGAGTGGTGGTGGTGGGGAGTGGTGGTGGTGGGGGGTTGTGGGGAGTGGTGGTGGTGGGGAGTGGTGGTGGGGGGGAGTGGTGGTGGGGAGTGGTGGTGGTGGGGAGTGGTGGTGTTGAGGAGTGGTGGTGGGGAGTGGTGGGGGGGAGTGGTGGTGGGGGGTGGTGGGGGGGGGGTGGTGGTAGGGAGTGGTGGTGGGGGGGAGTGGTGGTGGTGGGGAGTGGTGGTGGGGGGGAGTGGTGGTGGTGGGGGAGTGGTGGTGGGGGGAGTGGTGGTGGTGGGGGGTGGTGGGGAGTGGTGGTGGGGGGGAGTGGTGGTGGGGGGGAGTGGTGGTGGGGAGTGGTGGTGGTGGGGGGTTGTGGGGAGTGGTGGTGGGGGGGAGTGGTGGTGGTGGGGGTGGTGGTGGGGGAGTGGTGGTGGGGGGAGTGGTGGTGGTGGGGAGAGGTGGGGGGGTGGGGAGTTGGGAGCGGTAGGGAGTGGTGGTGGGGAGTGGTGGTGGGGGGTGGTGGTGGGGAGTGGGGAGTGGTGGTGGGGGGAGTGGTGGTGGGGGGGAGTGGTGGGGAGTGGTGGTGGGGGAGAGTGGTGGTGGGGAGTGGTGGTGGGTGGTGGGGGGTGGTGGGGAGTGGTGGGTAGTGGTGGTGGGGAGTGGGGAGTGGTGGGACATAGTGAGGAACTAGTGAGTGTAGTGATTAGTGAGTAGTGAGTGTAGCGAGAAGTGAGTAGCGAGTAGTGAGTAGCGAGTGTAGTGAGTGTAGTGAATGTAGCAGGTAGTGAATGTAGCAGGTAGTGAGTGTAGCGAGTGTAGTGAGTGTAGCAGGTAGTGAGTGTAGTGAGTAGTGAGTGTAGTGAGTGTAGCAGGTAGTGAGTGTAGTGTGTAGTGAGTGTAGTGTGTAGTGAGTAGCGAGTGTAGCGAGTGTAGCGAGTGCAGTGAGTGTAGCAGGTAGTGAGCGTAGTGAGTAGTGAGTGTAGCGAGTGCAGTGAGTGTAGCAGGTAGTGAGTGTAGTGTGTATCGAGAGTAGTGAGTAGTGAGTGTAGTGAGTAGTGAGTGTAGCGAGTGCAGTGAGTGTAGCAGGGAGTGAGTGTAGTGTGTAGTGAGTAGTGGGTGTAGTGTGTAGTGAGTAGTGAGTGTAGTGAGTGTAGTGAATAGCGAGTGTAGTGAGTGTAGTGAGTAGCGAATGTAGTGAGTGTAGCGAGTGTAGTGAGTGTAGTGAGTAGTGAGTGTAGTGAGTGTAGTGAGAGTAGTGAGTAGTGAGTGTAGTGAGAGTAGTGAGTGTAGTGAGTGTAGTGAGTAGCGAGTGTAGTGTGTGTAGCGAGTGTAGTGAGTGTAGTGAATAGTGAGTGTAGTGTGTAGTGAGAGTAGTGAGTGTAGTGAGTGTAGTGTGTAGTGAGTAGTGAGTGTAGTGAGTAGTGAGTGTAGTGAGTGTAGTGTGTAGTGAGTAGTGAGTGTAGTGAGTAGTGAGTGTAGTGAGTAGTGAGTAGTGAGTGTAGTGAGTGTAGCAGGTAGTGAGCGCAGTGAGTAGCGAGCGCCCACTGGAACGAGCGGTAGTGCGCGTGACGTTGCACCCCGTCCCAGTCCCGCATGTCGATGCGCAGGGAGTAGTCCCCCTGGCTGCTGAGCGCGTGAATCGCCGCGTTGCCCAGCCAAAGCTCGCCGTGCGGTGAGCCGAACCCCGCCGTGTAGTCCGCCCAGCCCCGGCTGAAGTCCACCGATCCGTTCAGCCGGCGCTGGATCACCGTCCAGCCGCCGCCTCGGTGACGGGGTGGGTGGGTGGGTGGCGGGGAGGAGGAGAGGCCGGAGAAAGTGAGTCGATTAATTGGTCAACGGCGGTGACCCCTTGACGGTGGCGGTGGCCACGGACGGTGGCGGTGACCCTGCACGGTGCCGGTGACCCTGGACGGTGACCCCGGAAGGTGACCCCTGGAGGGTGGTGGTGATCATGGACAGTGCCGGTGACCCTGGACGGTGACCCTGGACGGTGACCCCTGGACAGTGGCGGTGACCCCTGGAGGGTGGTGGCCACGCTGGCGACTACCCGCGGCTGTGCGCAGCTCCACACCTCCCCCCCGGCTCTGTGGTCCACTGCCGTACCGCTCCAACTCATTCGGCTTGGGGCGCGTCGCATCCAAATAACCCATAGACTCAACACTGCACCATAGACTCAACACTGCCCATAGACTCAACACTGCACCATAGACTCAACACTGCACCATAGACTCAACACTGCACCATAGACTCAACACTGCACCATAGACTCAACACTACACCATAGACTCAACACAGCACCATAGACTCAACACTGCCCATAGACTCAACACTGCACCATAGACTCAACACTGCACCATAGACTCAACACTGCACCATACACTCAACACTGCACCATAGACTCAACACTGCACCATAGACTCAACACTGCACCATACACTCAACACTGCACCATAGACTCAACACTGCACCATACACTCAACACTGCACCATAGACTCAACACTGCACCATAGACTCAACACTGCACCATACACTCAACACTGCACCATAGACTCAGCACTGCACCATAGACTCAACACTGCACCATAGACTCAACACTACACCATAGACTCAACACTGCACCATAGACTCAACACTACACCATAGACTCAACACTGCACCATAGACTCAGCACTACCCATAGACTCAACACTGCACCATAGACTCAACACTACACCATAGACTCAACACTGCACCATAGACTCAGCACTGCACCATAGACTCAACACTGCACCATAGACTCAACACTGCACCATAGACTCAACACTGCACCATAGACTCAACACTGCCCATAGACTCAGCACTGCACCATAGACTCAACACTGCACCATAGACTCAACACTGCACCATAGACTCAACACTGCACCATAGACTCAACACTGCCCATAGACTCAACACTGCCCATAGACTCAACACTACCCATAGACTCAACACTACCCATAGACTCAACACTGCACCATAGACTCAACACTGCACCATAGACTCAACACTACCCATAGACTCAACACTGCACCATAGACTCAACACTGCACCATAGACTCAGCACTGCACCATAGACTCAGCACTGCACCATAGACTCAACACTACCCATAGACTCAACACTGCACCATAGACTCAACACTGCACCATAGACTCAACACTGCACCATAGACTCAACACTGCACCATAGACTCAACACTGCACCATAGACTCAACACTGCACCATAGACTCAGCACTGCACCATAGACTCCACACTGCCCATAGACTCAACACTGCACCATAGACTCAACACTACCCATAGACTCAACACTGCACCATAGACTCAACACTGCCCATAGACTCAACACTGCCCATAGACTCAGCACTGCCCATAGACTCAACACTGCACCATAGACTCAACACTGCCCATAGACTCAACACTGCCCATAGACTCAGCACTGCACCATAGACTCAACACTGCACCATAGACTCAACACTACCCATAGACTCAACACTGCACCATAGACTCAACTCTGCACAATAGACTCAACAGTGCACCATAGACTCAACACTACACCATAGACTCAACACTGCACCATAGACTCAGCACTGCACCATAGACTCAACACTGCCCATAGACTCAACACTGCACCATAGACTCAACACTGCCCATAGACTCAACACTGCCCATAGACTCAGCACTGCCCATAGACTCAACACTGCACCATAGACTCAACACTGCCCATAGACTCAACACTACCCATAGACTCAACACTGCACCATAGACTCAACACTGCACCATAGACTCAACACTACCCATAGACTCAACACTGCACCATAGACTCAACTCTGCACAATAGACTCAAAAGTGCACCATAGACTCAACACTACTCATAGACTCAACACTGCACCATAGACTCAGCACTGCACCATAGACTCAACACTGCCCATAGACTCAACACTGCACCATAGACTCAACACTGCCCATAGACTCAATACTGCCCATAGACTCAGCACTGCCCATAGACTCAACACTGCACCATAGACTCAACACTGCCCATAGACTCAACACTGCCCATAGACTCAGCACTGCACCATAGACTCAACACTGCACCATAGACTCAACACTACCCATAGACTCAACACTGCACCATAGACTCAACTCTGCACAATAGACTCAACAGTGCACCATAGACTCAACACTACACCATAGACTCAACACTGCACCATAGACTTAACACTGCACCATAGACTCAACACTGCCCATAGACTCAACACTGCACCATAGACTCAACACTGCCAATAGACTCAACACTGCCCATAGACTCAGCACTGCCCATAGACTCAACACTGCACCATAGACTCAACACTGCCCATAGACTCAACACTGCCCATAGACTCAGCACTGCACCATAGACTCAACAGTGCACCATAGACTCAACACTCCCCATAGACTCAACACTGCCCACAGACTCAACACTGCCCATAGACTCAGCACTGCACCATAGACTCAACACTACCCATAGACTCAACACTGCACCATAGACTCAACACTGCACCATAGACTCAACACTGCACCATAGACTCAACACTGCACCATAGACTCAACACTGCACCATAGACTCAACACTGCCCATAGACTCAACACTGCCCATAGACTCAGCACTGCACCATAGACTCAACACTGCACCATAAACTCAACACTGCCCATAGACTCAGCACTGCCCATAGACTCAACACTGCACCATAGACTCAACACTGCCCATAGACTCAACACTGCCCATAGACTCAGCACTGCACCATAGACTCAACAGTGCACCATAGACTCAACACTCCCCATAGACTCAACACTGCCCACAGACTCAACACTGCCCATAGACTCAACACTGCACCATAGACTCAACACTGCCCATAGACTCAACACTGCCCATAGACTCAGCACTGCACCATAGACTCAACACTGCCCATAGACTCAACACTGCCCACAGACTCAACCCTGCCCATAGACTCAACACTGCACCATAGACTCAGCACTGCACCATAGACTCAACACTGCACCATAGACTCAACACTACCCATAGACTCAACACTGCACCATAGACTCAGCACTGCACCATAGACTCAACACTACCCATAGACTCAACACTGCACCATAGACTCAACACTGCACCATAGACTCAACACTGCCCATAGACTCAACACTCCCCATAGACTCAACACTGCCGATAGACTCAACACTGCCCATAGACTCAGCACTGCACCATAGACTCAACACTGCCCATAGACTCAACACTGCACCATAGACTCAACACTGCACCATAGACTCAACACTGCCATAGACTCAAGACTGCACCATAGACTCAACACTGCCCATAGACTCAACACTGCCCATAGACTCAACACTGCACCATAGACTCAGCACTGCCCATAGACTCCGCACTGCCCATAGACTCAACACTGCACCATAGACTCAACACTGCCCATAGACTCAACACTGCACCATAGGCTCAACACTGCACCATAGACTCAGCACTGCACCATAGACTCAACACTGCCCATAGACTCAACACTGCACCATAGACTCAGCACTGCACCATAGACTCAACACTGCACCATAGACTCAACACTGCACCATAGACTCAGCACTGCACCATAGACTCAGCACTGCACCATAGACTCAACACTGCACCATAGACTCAGCACTGCACCATAGACTCAACACTGCACCATAGACTCAACACTGCACCATAGACTCAGCACTGCACCATAGACTCAACACTACACCATAGACTCAGCACTGCACCATAGACTCAGCACTGCACCATAGACTCAGCATTGCACCATAGACTCAACACTGCCCATAGACTCAACACTGCACCATAGACTCAACACTGCACCATAGACTCAACACTGCCGATAGACTCAACACTGCACCATAGACTCAACACTACCCACAGACTCAACACTACCCACAGACTCAACACTGCACCATAGACTCAACACTGCACCATATACTCAACACTGCACCATAGCCTCAACACTGCCCATAGACTCAACACTGCCCATAGACTCAGCACTACCCACAGACTCAACACTAGCCACAGACTCAACACTGCACCATAGACTCAACACTGCACCATAGACTCAACACTGCACCATAGACTCAGCACTGCACCATAGACTCAACACTGCACCATAGACTCAACACTGCACCATAGACTCAGCACTGCACCATAGACTCAGTACTGCACCATAGACTCAACACTGCACCATAGACTCAACACTGCACCATAGACTCAGCACTGCATCATAGACTCAGCACTGCCCATAGACTCAACACTGCCCATACACTCAACACTGCCCATAGACTCAATACTGTACCATAGACTCAACATTGCACCATAGACTCAACACTACACCATAGATTCAACACTGCCCATAGACTCAGCACTGCCCATAGACTCAACACTGCCCATAGACTCAATACTGCGCCATAGACTCAACACTGCACCATAGACTCAACACTGCCCATAGACTCAACACTGCACCAGAGACTCAAAACTGCCCGTAGACCCAACACTGCCCATAGACTCAACACTGCACCATAGACTCAACACTGCACCATAGACTCAACTCTGCACCTTAGACTCAGCACTACCCACATACTCAGCACTACCCACAGACTCAACACTGCACCATAGACTCAGCACTGCACCATAGACTCAACACTGCACCATAGACTCAACACTGCACCATAGACTCAGCA